TCCCCACTCAGTTGTTGCTGGTCCATGCTTGTTGAACAGTGCCTGCCACAGTCATGAGGCTTGTTGAAGTGATGGGACTGCTGGTTCCTTCTGGTGGCTCCCTGGACACCTGGGCAATTAAAGATTCCTGCCCATGGCCCAGCTCTGCTGTAAGAGCTGATCCTTATTTCTCTGTCCAGAGAAAATTTGTCTTTATTTCTCGGGTCCAAATTTCAAGACTGGCATAAATTATGTGGATAAAAATGCTCTAAGATTTTGTTGCATTTTTATAGTTGAGAAGTTTAGTCATTACTTGTCGTGTACATATCAGAATCACAGGCATCACAGGCATCATCACCAAATCTGGAATCTAGGGGCAGAGATTGAGATGTATCACTGACTCCTATGTCTCTTTCAAAGATTTTTTTTTCTCATCAATAAAATAATGTCTGAAAAGGGTTTCTGCTGCGAGCCACAGCATACCTCTTTTACAAGACCGTAACAAAGTCTTCTTTTACTCTCTCACCGAACAGTAAAAAATACAGCTCCTGATGCCAGCCTGGCATCCTAAACATACATGCTAAGATTGTAGTTAATTGACACGGTGCATATTTCAAAACCCTCTTCCCTGCTCAGTAGCAGGTTTCAGCAGAGCTGCTGAGTACATGCCATTGGAAGCACTGCATAGGCATCTATGTGCTTTGTAAGAACTGTCTCTAGCGCAACCTAACACATATGATAGCCAAGGACACCAAAATGCTGCCTTCTAAAAACAGTCTGCTTAAATGACAGTTTATTTCAAAAATTAAGGCAGCCTCTGAGCCCCCAGGCCCCGTTTCGTGGTCATGCTGCCTTCCTCCCGCCCCAGGGGCTCCAGCTCCGTGCTCTTCTGCAGGTGGTGCCCCGTGGCCAAGGTCCTCACGTTTCCCTCCGTGAAGGAGACAACCAGCGCAGCGTCACCGCGAGCGCCCCCGAGGCCCTCCTGTGCCTGCGGATGGCTCCCCGAGGCAGGGCTGACGCTTCGTTGGGGCGCAGGGCTCCCACTGCTGCTCCAGCTGCCTCCTCTGGAGGTCCCGTCCCACGCCGCCTCCCCAACGCTCCTCCCTCACAACACACCTGCACCGCCCTCCCGCCCAACTGCTGCGCGCTGAAGAGGCACGAGCCTGTCCAAGGAGGAGGTGCCTCAGCGCAACGAAAGCTGCAGTGAAAGTCCATAATTAGCGCCCACCCGGGCTCCCAGGTTTGCTGCCTACATTGCTGTGACAGGTAATATTGTCCTGGGAAGAAATGTTACACTTTGTGCAAGGTAGCAGTATGGTTTCCAGTGCCACCGGGGAAGCATTAGAGATCCTACAGGATGGCACTGAGAGCAGACCAAGGGGTTGTCCAAACTCCTGGGCTGCAGTTCCCTAGTTTTTGCACAGCAGTGACTTCTGCCTCCCCCTGCTCACGCAGATCCTCAGCTGCTGCTCCGAGCCGGCCTGCGGCCATGGAAGCTCCCATGGCCATGAGGGCTTCTTGGTGCTCAACTCCCATTTCGAATTTCTCTGCTTTGCTGCTCTTTGCCACCCTGAGCAAAAATGAGTCAGAAAGGGAAGTTTAACAGCATCCAGAAACAGAAATAACCAGAAAACCTCAAGAGTTTTCTTACTGAGAATAATCAGGTTGAAATGAATAAAGAGAACTAAGTGGGTTAGTTTTGAAAAGTATCAAACTGAACTGTCCCACGGCTGCTCTCAAAATACTGAGAGGACAAAAAAAGTCTGTATTTTACAGGAACTGCACATTCTTTTTGTCAGTTATAGCAGTTCTGAAGACTAGATGCTGTTGCAAGATACTTAAAAAATTAGCATTTTTTTTAAACAAAATCATTAAGTTTAACTAGATGATTTAGTCAAATCAATTAGGAAATGTAACTGGTCCGTGTAAGGCCGGTGCAAACAACATGAAGTGGTCAACTCCTACACTAATCAAATGAAAAGCAGCACACACGTAGCTGCAGCAGTTGCAAAATTTTGCCCTAGGCAATAAAAGCTGAGTGGCTATGGGTCAACTCCAAGAGCAGCTCTCAAAGCAAGGTCAGCTACACTGTGGCCAAGTTCAGAGACACAGGCTATACTGTATGTGAGTGTTGTGCCATGCTTGTGGCTATACTACTCACCAAATATTGCTCATTTGATTCATTTTGAACCTTTAATTGACACATGTTCAAAACTAGCTATGCCAAGGCTTAATGATGGACTATTACATCGTGTACTGGGCTCTGAGGAATTTCCTTGATATGCACGGCAAACTATGCATAATGCAAGAAGAAATCAGTATTACCAAGACAATAGTAGGAGAAATAGATGATACAAATGGGACAGAAATTTCTGAATTGCAGGACTGGAGGATTGCGATTAGTTCAGTTGATTAGCAGACCAGAGGTAGAATTTTTAGTCATCTTGGAACTCACTTCCATTTTTTCGCACTGGCAACTCTGATTCATCTCTTTCTGCTGCTTAAACTTCTAAACAGGAAAAAATGAATATGGTAACCAGCCATGGAGCTTTATAAAAATATTCATGTACTGTAAGAAATAGCTGCAAAGGGTCTGACTCATACCACATTTTTTACCATGCCTACACGGCGAAATCGTGTGGGGAACCCACCTAATACTCATGGCTGCAGCAACACAGGAACGTGAAGAGAGGGCAAAGCAGCAAAAGACCGTAGAGTTGGAGGGGAAATGTTGCAGTTGTGCTTAAATCCTGTCCTGTAGCTCAGAGCACTGCCTGTGATAGCAGAAGGGCCATGGCTTCAGCAGCAGAAGGCAGCCCTGAGCTCTGCTTGGGACACTTTTCCTCTTTTGCTGACATGAATAAGCAGGGGGGACTGCCCTCTGGGTACGTGCTCTTTGGAGAATCCTTGGAAGACGGAGCCCTCCTCTGCAGAGGCCGGCAGGTTCCGAAGTGGGACGGCACCGTAACCGCGTCCCCAGCGCCTCGGGGGAGAGGTTTAGGCAGCGGGAACAAAGATGGGGCTTCTGCGCAGATGCTCCGTTTTCAAACAGGCCGTTTTACCTTCTGTTCAAAAGAGAATTCAACAGTAGTCTCTACACAGTAAATAATCTATTTGTGGATTTCTCCTACTTAAATCAGTATTTTCTCTTAAATTGAGCAAGATGCTGACTTTATGTCTCCAGATATACCCATACTCACTGCTTACTGGAGCCAAACCAAAGCAGAAAAGAATCTGATGAACAGTCATTTTCATTTTTTTTCCATTTTTCAAAGTTCAAAACTGTGCGAACAGTTCAAGTCTATTACAACATGTTTTAGAAAAATGAAGGCAAACAAAAATCTAGAGCTGATCTGTGATTAATTTTATTTGGAATAATTCACCAGATCTTGGGTGTTTGTTCTTTTGTATAACCTAAAAAAAAAAAAAAAACCACTATCAAAAATGGGCTACTAAGGATAAAAACCAAATGGCACTGTAGACGAGAACTCTTTAAGAAAGTACAGCTAAGAAATATATGCTAATAAATCTGAAGTCCTCATTACTGGGTTTACAGCAGAATCTGATACGTTGCTTGTCCCCGTTTACAGCGCATTCTTTTAGCACGTAGTAGGAGCACTTCCTAAAGGGCTTCCAGTTACACATCATCTTTCAACATGTTTGCTTCGCTGATCTCGTCCTAAGGCTTTATGGTACACGCAGTTCTGGACTACCTATGAATAATGCATGAAAGTGATCTCCACTTTACGGGATCAGCATCACATTACAATCCCAAAATATTTTAATAGTCACTGTTAAATGTATGTATTTTCAACTTTTTTTTTTAAAGCAAATATAACCTAAGGATATTACTCAAAAAAGGTATTAACTTCCTTTTTAACAAGCAGAACAGACTGAGAGCAAGCAGAGTTATATATACCGTTGAGTTGAACGTATGAAAAGCTTCTCAATCCTAACTCGTTTCATGGGTTATGACACTCATTTTTCATTTTTTTGCCTTAAAATGAGGAAAAAAAGATCTTGTGTGTGACTAATTTCACAATGTATCCTGATCTTTTTCGAGAAGATTTACTAAATATAAACATATAAATAAATAAGAATGCCTAATTATTAATTTTGATTAATTTAAGGAACAGATTCTATGGAAGTGCCTCATCTGGGATCTAAGTGATGTCATTGTGTAGACACCACATAAACACTGATGGGCCAGGACTGCCCAGAGAGCATTGCTGCCTTTCGGGCCTACTTGAGGACAAATACCTGGTGGTGAAGTTCCAACGGCCTGGCTTGTAGGAAGGTTTTCTGGAAAGTGACATTGTCCCTGCATACTTACAGCCCATGCAACATCGCGTAGTTTTCCGTAGGCAAATTAGGGATGCATTTGGCCCTTGGAGGACTGATTTCATACACACAGCCATGAGTACAATTAGTGACAGTCAGGATAACGTTGCTTCCCACACCTTCATGTGGAATCAGAAGACTCCCTGCTGACAACACAGGACTGTTTAAAAAGCAATGGTTTTAGGTGTTTTTTACCACAGTTGAAATGTTTAATTTTGTATGACATGCAGAAGTTTCCTGCCAGAACCATAATACTGAGGTGTCTGAGCTGTCAATCGGCACTAAAAGTGCTTAGCACCTTCTAAACTGTTTGGGAGCAGTTAGAACCCATTCACTTTGACATTTAAACATGCAGGCTCCAGATGTGACATTTAGCTTGCAAATTGTTTTCATCTTTTTTTCTTTCTTGAATTTTATAATAACTAGAATATACTTAAGTCCCCAACAATTCAAATTAAATACAGGTATATTGATACTCTTGGGTAGGGTGCTGTGGATGTCTACAGGCCTTCAAATACATAGTCTGAACACAGAAAAAGAATCTTCGATTGGTAAAAGAAATAAATAACTGTAGACTGCATATCCCGAGGAACTCTAATTAAAGCAATCTTTTCAGCAGGCATCAGCATCTCCTTTTTTTTCCCACAGCTGAACAAAAACTGCATTTATGTCTGTACGATTTTGTTTTTCTTCAAATTTATTAGCCTGTGTAATGATAATAGTCCATTTTTATTATTAAATCAGAAACAGTAAGAGAACACTCTAGGTTGGTATAGTCATTTTTACAATGAGCATATTAGCTACAATACCATTATCTATTGTTGTCAGAAAACAAAAACAAATAGAACCAGAACAGCATTTTTTTGACAAATCTGCTTATTGAGATATCACCTATTCTGTAAAGAAGAAAATACTTGAAAAATAAAAAAGTTAAAATTTAGTTAAAAGCTGTACTTTTCTGGGAGCAATCTCATAAAACTTTTTTTTTTTAATGTGAGCACTTCACTTCACAAAATGAAAAACTATTTACAACATTTTGCTTGCAGTTTGGTCACATTATCTACACACATTTGCAGAAGATCTTAGGCAAAACAGGTCCGTATCTTCTTCTGACATAGGCTATCAGACTGATTGCACATTCTCCTTTTACATAATGGCTCTCCTATAGTGCACTGAAGTCAGTGATCATTGTCTAATTACATTCTCTTTTTAATTTATGGCTCAACAACAAAATCAATACCACTTCAAACCAAAATATCCGAGCGGCTGAATTACATACGGGGTTAAACATGTGGATTCTACTTTTTTGACCTGATTTTCAAAAGTTAGGTGTAAATAATACACCTCACCAGCACAATTCTTGAATTGCAAGACACATTGCAACTGCAAATCTAATTACATTGAAAATCAAGGTATTTTGTCAAATTCTGTTGAACTGATTTCCCTCTAGACACAGATCATTAACAAGATGTTCACTTCCCTGTGGCATTTCCATGAACTTTTCAGCACGCTATTACTGAATTACAGTATCTTTTCCGTATATGCTGTTTTGGCCAGTAACGTAATTTCTATGTTACACAACATCATTGCCTTCACAAGCAGAATTGCTACATACATTCACAGTTTCAACAGATTGTAATTAGCTTCTCCAGTTGTGCTTTAAAAATTCCATATATTTCCCAACAGTAAGTGCAAAGCAAATGTCCTATGCAGCTACAATTGGTCACAGAGTTATAAACTCCATAATAATGAGATAGTCATTCTCTCATTCTCCATTTTCATCACCTGCTTTTTCAGGTATGACCTCAAGGCTTCGTCGGGGTTTTGAGATTTCTGCATTTTCAGTGCCTGGCTTATTGAGTCCACATGAAAGAGTGGCATAATGGATTTGTTTCAGGTTCTCCAATGCTTCATTTTTAGCATATTTGAGAAGATCGGCTTGTCCCTGGAAGAAGAAAAAGAATAGTTACAACATAATGGGATTCTCTCTCTCTCTCTTTTTTTTTTTGGTCTTCTTTCTTTTGCTTGAATTACTTTTAGTTAATAGGAACCAAAGTCCTTGCTTGCCCTGGAGCCAACTGTTTGGATAAATATACAAAATAAATAATAACGATAATCATAGAATGCTTAAGGTTGGAAGGGACCTCTAGAGGTCACCTAGTCCAACCCCTCTGCACACGCAGGGTCACCTAGAGCACGTGGCACAGGACTGCGTCCAAGCGGGTTTGGAAGATCTCCAGAGAAGGAGACTCCACAACCTCTCTGGGCAGCCTGTTCCAGGGCTCTGTCACCCTCACTGTTAAGAAATTTTTCCTTAAGTTCCTGTGGAACTTTTGGTGTTTCAGTTTGTGGCCATTACCTCTAGTTCTATCAGTGGCCAACATTGAAAAGCGGCCAGCACCATCCTCTTCACTGCCTCCCTTGAGGTATTTCTATACACTGATCAGGTCCCATCTCAGCCCTCTCTTCTACAGGCTGAACAGGCCCAGCTCTTTCAGTCTTTCCTCATAAGGCAGATGTTAATAATAATTTTTTTTTAAAAAAGATTTTTTTTTGAAAAAGAAAGAGCGATCATTACTACCTAATAACTTTCAAGAAAGTAATCTGTGCTAATTTTAACCCACGGTGCCTATACAAGTTTGTACATTGAGAAATTTGTGAAAGCTGACTTTTTGTTTTTGCTTTGTTTTTGTTTTTCCCAACAATGTGTTGTTGGTTTAAGTTTTTTCCCCAAAAATGAGTCAGATGAAGTGGAAGTCCAACTTTACCTTTTGATTTCAAAAATAAAAGAGGAGAGGTGGAATGGCAATCAACCAGACAAAACACGTGTCCACTCACATTGTGATACTTTAGTCTCATTTCTTTAGCAACTCAGAACACAAATACTGTCTTATGAAACAAGCAGAAAAACTCGAGACATACAAATTAAAAACAAACGTATTTTTTCCAAAGAAATCAAACTGCCCACCCCTATCCAAAAACTAGAAGTTCACCATTGTTGAGCACAAGCTTCAATAACACTTTTCAGCTTCTAAAGAAAACCTGAGCTTCCTTTTTTTATCACAAACTTTTTTTTTTTTTTTAAATAACAAACAACCAAAAGCTAATTTAAAATGCTCCAGCAAACTAAATGAGTCATATCTGCAGGGCATCTGTTTCTAACTCAAGTTCCATTTTACACGCATTACTAGAATACAGGATGGGAACTTCACTAAAGTTTGTTATAGGCAGTGCTGGTAGCAATAGTCTTTAGGAAAGGTTGCCTGAAACATCCGATTAAAAAAAGGTCTTTCAGTTGCTTATATGCTTGGCAAACTTCAGCCACTCAAGCTGAAATTTATTATGCAAGATTTTTGCTGCTGTCAGTCTTTATTATTATCACTGTTTAATATTATTTAACCTCACCCTCATGGCTCATTCAGTTCTCAGCATAAAGGCAGGAAAATGCTGTCACAATTTTAAACATCCTTCCATCCTTCCCTTCATGTCCACTTTGCAATTCAAATGACTTAAGGAGGCTGCAGTTGTGGATCAAAATCGTGAGGTTTTAATAAACAGAAATGATGTAGTTGCTACAACCATTCTTCATCCCTTGACAGCTCCAGCATGGACAGATAACACAGACTCCATTCCCACACAGTAATCAACATACGTTAGGAGAAAAAGCTGTTTTTTCCCAGTGTGGTTTCCCTGAGTTGGGCATCATGTTTGAGAACTTGGGCTGTACTTGGAAGGCTGACTTATCACTGACATTTGGATGCCAATGCAGGCGGTCTGAAAGCTAAGCTGAAGGAAGGGAAGCCGGAAGGAAGGACTCTGGACAGGAAGGGGATGGCAAAAAGGATGGGGAAGAAAGGAAGATAAGGAAAAGTCATCTCTGGGACAAAAGAAAAAGCTGGGGTGCAAACATGAGAAGAGCACGGGGTGCAGGAAGCCGCGTGTTAGTCAGAGCAGCTCAGTTTTCAGCAGATAACTGGGAGTCCTGGACAGGACTGCACAGAGCAAACGAACTGGACAGACCGACCCAGGGCTGGCCCAGGAGCTGGGCTGACACCAGCAAGAGCCTCTGGTGAGAGAACGCTGGGCAAGAGGGATCAAGGCCAGCCCAGGGTGAAATACACAGATGAGCCGTGTCCACTGGATTCTCGTCTCCAAAACTCAGAGTGAAGCAATCGATTTCTGAGTGCCTCTCAGCTCAGGAAAATGTTTGTGAAACAGCACTGTCAATAACCACTGCTGCGGCCCGAGCGCGGGAGGAAACCAGGGCCAACCACAGCCATAAAACACAGCAGTAGCGCGAGTGAGAGCGCTGCCCGCACGGCAGCCGACTGCCATTTCTGCCACCTTCATTTCACAGTACTTAAAATTCACTACTGGGAAAGGTTACGGAACTGAGTATCAGCTAACATTAACACTATTTTGCATATGCTTATATCTTTCACAAAATGGAGCAAATGCACCAAAATATTTTGTAGGCAGATGTGGCAAAGAAAGAACATCAAAGAACAAAACTGATATTCATTCATAACCTTTTAAGAAGCAAAACCCCAAAAGGATGTGGACTGATGAGGAAGTCCAATTCAATATTCTCCAAATGTTTCTGTTCTCCTACTACCTGCTTCAATTATTCTGTTTTCCGAGCTTCTTTTTTTTTTTAAATCAACAGGGAAAATACATCTTGCTTTGAAGCTTTAAGATAATATATACATGTGTATATACTTCAAGAAATATTAGGTGTTCTGACAACAGTTCCTCTGGAATTAACTGTCAATTTTGCTATTTTATCGAACTTCCATAGCATCAACTGTGGCCCAAATGTCCCAATTAAAAAAAAAAGGAAACATCAATGTGCACCTTGAGGGTGAAATGAAACTTAATTGGTTTGGAAAATCCATGAGTCCCAGTACATGGCCATAGCATGATTCCCCTATGAGGGAGCCAGGAGCTCATGCAGAATTATTTGGCAATGTTCAGAGTCACGCAGCAGTTCCTGAGTCATAGCCAAGAGACCACGTAAAATATTACTCCTAGTTACAAAAAGGTAAAAAGTTAAATCCATCTAAGCATGGCCTTTCTGCAGGTTTGTCTCGCTTGTTGAATAGCAAAATTTGGGGCCGCAGAACAGAGAGGGTTTTATTATTGTGCTAGTTGGGAGGGAAGTTAATTTGAAACAGGCAGGGATTATAGCAGAGAAAAAAGAAATTCTTAAGGTGACCTCATAGCTTTTTATGTCCTGCTCATTTTTTACTCTAAAAGAACACGGGCTTTTACTTTCCATTCCTCATATAATTTTTAGAGAACTGGAAAAATGGAAATGGAAAAAAGATAATAATAGATAATAGAAAAATAGAAGCTATGACTGCAGGTCCTTTCCCCCAAACAGGAACAGCCATGCCTTAGAAACTGGTGATCTCTTTCTATTTAATTATGTCAGTCAAGACAAGTTAGGTGAAAAAACTCTGAGGCTTCCCTGCTGAGAAGAAAAGAAAGCTAAAATTCCCATATAGTACCTCTGTAAAACCACGGAAGATATGACTTAGTATTCAGTTATTAAAATACAGTAGAACAAAATAAAAGCATCAGAATAATGAAGTCTGTCTTGCAGTAAAGCATTTGTATCCATTGTAAGGGCTACCACAGACGACAAACAAAATACACTTTTGCAGCTATCCATAAGTTACCTTTAAAACAGGTTCAAAAAAAAATCTTAAATCTAATAGTTTAATACAGTTTTCAAGATGTGTTGGATTAACACTTGATGTGTCCTGTATGGTCATCATTACTGTGGACTTCCAGGACAATTAACTGAATGACACATTAGTAATTTCACATTTTTTAGCTATTAGGACCTACTCTATCTCAGTAACTTGATGGCAGAACAGAACTGTTTCATACACTTAGTCAACAAACCTTCAAACCTTCAGGTACTCCCTTCACCTGTTTGTTATTTTTAGTTTTTTTCATTTATGGTTGGATTTATTTCTGAAGTTTCTTACATAGGTCTCCCCTTTGAATGACAAAGTCCTATAGCAGGTGCATTAGGGTTACTTAGCATTTGAAGTTTGAGGTTTCTGAAACCAGCCTATAGTTAAGAGCTTGGAAGAAAAATGTTCAATCTGTGCTACTTTGAGCAAATCATGCTGGCCTCTCACTTTCTGTATATCTAAATGCAAATAACAATAATTAATGCCAAGTTTAATATCTGTAAAGTACTTCTAAGAAGTAACAACACATGTGAACTTCCTATAGTAACACCTCCTGTTATAGTTTGGACAACAGGCTGACTAGGTATCTCTGGGCTTTTTTTTTGTAAGATACTAAGTATGCAACAAATTTTACCTTCCTGCAGAAGGGTAGAAAATAAATCTAGAAGTTCAAAACAAAAGAACAAAGGAAAAAATATGAGACCCAAAGCCAGTGATGCATAGATTTTCCCAATAATCCATTCAAAAAGGCATCTTCCTTACTTCTTAATCCTACTATTTGTAAGGATATGTGCAAAAGCTCTCGGTGCTCCAAGAAGTCAGATCTACCACTCAGGTTCTCTGATTCACAGTTTATGCAGAAATCATGATTCCACATTTCAGCTGCTCCTCAACTGCAATCCCTCCCCTCCACCAGCCCATATGCTCTGAACGGAAAGAAGAGCGGAAAGCCAAGGCGGTGCTGCTTCAGGCAGCATTAAAATAGATTTGACTATCCACATTGACAGCAGATACCTTTGACAGAAATCAAAGAAGGGAGAATAATTTATATCTTTGATATTGACCAAACCCACTGAACTGACTCTCCCTTTTTGTCTCCTAGATAGTAAAGGAATTGTGCTTGACATCCTCTATATTGTCTTCAGGTAATTCTGCTCTTGTAGGGGAAAAGTGATAGCCTGATCCTTATATCTTTAAGCAGAACTTGGAAAATAATTTAGAGTTTATTACCTGTACACACTGCAACAGATTTAGCCTCTTTTTATTTCTCCTCTGCATCTCCTGGGCAGCCTAACATAAGGAGAACTGGAGCACCAAATACTACAAAGACCTTAACAGCTGAGCATTACATGAAAAGTGGGAGGAACACCTGCATATTAATGCTTTTCTACAGTGGTGAACCTCCACTGCGAGGAGCAGTGACAGGCAATTTTAATTTCAATACTTAAGAGAAATAAAAATGTAAAAAATATGAGAGAAAATAAAAGTTATCTTTATAATTAAAACAGATTTTAAAGTTGAAAATAGTGATAAAATACTTGATTTGAGTAGGAGAGAATTCATTAGTAAATGCAAACACAAAACTTGAAAAATTTGGGCTAGAAAGATAGTGTCAAGGGAATAAATTAAAGGAAGTGGTTTTGCTAACTTCAAAAAAAGTTGATGTACTCTACTGAGATGAAAGCCCCCAGATGAGAGATCTGAAAACTGTTCTGCACTCTATTTGCTGAGTGTCTGCAGCAGAGAGCTTTTCTACACGCTGTCACTTGAGGCTGCATCAACAAGTACAACCGCAGCGAGACTCCCCGCTCAGACGCGCTCTGCTCTTCCAGCCCGCAGTATTAGCCCGTCTCGTAGGCATCGTCAATTACCGCTCATCGCTGACTGCCACAGCAACAGCCTCCTCTCTGTTTTCCTATTTCTCCATTCCCTTTAATGGCCTGAGTTCCCTTGCAAATCACAAACAGGGTTTAAACAGTGGCAGAGCCTCCTCGAAGCCCTCGTAGCCTCACAGGAATCAGTGCTCATTGTTTTAGTCATATACTCAAGATTACGGTGGATGCTGTTGAAGTTAAAATGTAGGAGGAAAATGTCAGAGACAAAAACCCAATGATACATAGCTCCCAATGATACAGAAGACTAAGAATTCGCATTGAGAGTTTGCTATGTTTTCGAGGTATATAAGCTAAACTCATGACGATCGTAAAAGTAAACAAAACTAGTTGAACTACGGCACATAAAAATGACCAGTGACAACACAAGAATGTTAGTTACGAATAGAAAAATACAATAGCTAACCCAAGGAATTACCTTTGAAAACATTAAAAACATTACCTTCAGAATTGTAATATTCCATGTAAAACTTTCTACTGATTTTTGCAGTTTTCTTTCTTTTAAGCCTTCTCTTGCTCCTATATTGTGCAGGTTTTCATGAAACTCCATTGCTGTGGAGAGTAAGAGAGGAACACAATATCTGTTTATGTTAATGCGTTTTTGTGAACACAGAGTTAGTGACTTGAAACTAATAAGGTAAGAAACTTTTAATAATAAGAGAGCACTATTACTATACTATAGTAAGAGAGTATATTAAAGGGCAGTAAAAAAAGCTTCAGATATTTTATTCTTCAAGCACAAATGTATCTAACCTAGTAATATAAAGTTACACAACATGTCAATATACTGAGGCATCTCTACACTGAAATAGTTGTTGGGCCATTGCTGTACAAAGACGTAGCAAGGAAATTTTTACTATACAGAAATATTGAAAATATTGACTATAAGAAAAAATTTGAATTTGTTGCACTGTATGTAAAGGACATTTGCGAGTTGCTACAGAACAGAAGCGCTAATTTCACGAAATATACCTTGACAGATTCATTTCATTCCTTGGTTTTATACGCACTGAATTTACAGCACAGTTACCTGGCTAACAGTTTGCACACTGAGACCAGCCCTGACAAGAGTTGTCTCACCCCACCCCTGAACGCTGGGAAGGGGGAGCACAGGGCAGAATTCCCAGCACACTCCGCTACACCCATGGAAGCTACTGGGTCCACATAGCCTGTGGCCGACGATCTCCAAACCAACAAACAGTTGCAAAATCAAGATTATTCTGACCTAAACACTGAGTGGTGAGACCAGAGCAGCAGATGTATCCCAGCGAGCTGCAGAGATTTAACCTGAAAAGCAATTTGCTTTCCTTGCTGCTATTGTAAGTCTCATAAATTTGGAGTCCATTGTTCCCTTCATACGGGAGAAGCAACATATCCTTCTACGGATACACATGACACCCAAAATGGATTACAGCAATTTTCCCATGGAATTGTCTGTTCAACAGTGCTCCAAGAATCTCCATCAGTAAAAACAAAAATAGGTATCTTGAGGACAAAATTTGGCATGTGGGGTGTGACTTACACTTACGAATTTAACATCGAGTCATACCTTTATCATAAATTTTAATTGTAATTATCTCCTTCAGATTTTCTGTCTGCCTAGTGAGCATGTGTGCTTCAAAAATACATAGAATTAATTATCATGGAATAAACATACAAACTTGTATTGATTATTAATCTTAACTTAAAGTAGGTTTTTAAGAACATCAGAGTATCTGTTTTTCTTTGTAATCTCACGTATATGCACCCATTTAATTATATGTATATATAAAATTAAAAAACGATTCACAAATTCATTTTAAATAGAAGACTGTTCTTTTTAGGCTTTCTTATCCTTTTAACCGATCTGCAAGAAAAATATATGCAAATACTTTTGCTGAATAGCTAGACCATTCATGTTATATTTACCAAAACCAGATCTCTAAGTCGATGAAAAATTAAAGTTCACTCATCCAGTACCGTTTCCAAGTATCTATTTTCCATTCACATCATGTCAAATAAACTCTCACAGAATGATGCATAGATCCATATTCATGACCTTGCATTTCTAGAGACACCAATAAAATACAATTTTTCTTATCTGTACTAGCAGTTCTCAAACCATACTGGTAAGTTTTTAAAGTTCTGTATTCAGATTCTTAGCAAAGCAAATACATTTGCAAGGTGCAGAGGTGCACTTTTAATCACCTTTCAGCAGTAATACATTCAAAAAATGATGGGAATGGAGGAAGACAAGGGTGTATGCAGTACGTTTAAAGAACAGCCCTTAATCATTACTGACCTCATTTCCATCTTTATAATTATTTCCCTTCAAATCCTAACTCACAGGCACAAGTGATCAGGATGATCTTGAACAGAACGCTGAGGGTCAGCATGAGCGATGTGAGCTCCACCGCTCTGCAGGTGTCAGAGTGTTGTCGTGCACAGAACGTCCCCAGCTGATGAACCACGCCGAGCGCAGTGACTCCATGTTCTGTAGCCAGAGCAGCTCTCTCGGGGAGGCTGGATACCCTCTGTAGCCCTCATGCTTCTTCATATTCTTGCTATGTTTACATTTCTGCTCTGTAAAACTCAGAAGCAACCCAAGTGATCCCAGAGATGTGAAATGTGGTTCCTTGAATCAATTCTTGTTTCTGTCGTGGAAGTATCAGGGCAGGTACTCTGTATAAGCTGCAACACCCCCGTGCTCCAGTGTAACGAAGGGCTGGTTGGCAAGAGCCATTCAATTTCCAAAGTGTCTGAAAATAAAATCTCTTCCATCGCTCATGATCTGATCCAAGTCTTTCACACTAAAGGGCAGCTTTTCAGGGCATCATTCACCCCAACTATTAGACCATGTTGTGTGAACATATTCTAATTAATATGACAAACATAACCGCATAGCGATAGCACGATTCAAGAACAAGCTTTAAAACTGAACAAAATGCTCCCAAACACTTTTTCAATTCATAATCAAAGATTTTACAGTGTTTCTTTCTCCATAGCATTTAAAAACATCTTCATAACCAGTCCTTTAGCACTTCCAAATAACTATTTTCCGTACTTAATGCTGAATCACTTTCTGGTTCCCCAGTGAATGCTGATGAGTTTACTTTGAATTTCATGAAATTCAAGTCTGTCTCTCTCATAAAACCCTGAAGGCCTAGAATATATTAGATAGCTCTAACGCTTCTTTTTACCTCCTGGAAATACCTCATCAATCAAGAAGCCTGTCTGAAATTGTATGTACAGCTCTGTTCTCCCATTTTCAATAAATTCAAACACCATAAGGAAAACAGAAGTGCTATAGAGATGGTGAAAGCCATATGAAGCCTATTTTGTCTGAGGTGACTAATAAAGATTTGCTTAGCATTTCTAGTGAAAAGAAAACCAAAAGGGGAACAATTCTTCTCTGTAAATACACCTGTCAGGTAAGACCTTGAGAAGGCAAAGAGTCATTTCAGCTATGGGGCAATGTCAGAATAGTAACAAGTTAGTATGTATGTCCATCAATAAAGGAGAAATAAATTTATGTATGATTTACACCATTGCAGATGTGGTTCTATAAGCAGGCTTGAAGAGAAAAAAATTACTCCAGTTGAAAACTCATATTAATTTTAAAATGGAGCTTGATGTGATCAGTTTATGAAAATGGCAAAAAATGGGAGTAGACTTCAGGACCTTCTAGTTCTGTATTTTAGTAGCCAGTCAAATCCTCAGCCAACTGCAAATCTGATGCACTTTAAAAATAGTATTTCGTGGGGACCACAAACCTACATAATTTATGCCCAGCATATTCTGATGGACCAGACAGAAAGCTGAGCTCTGCCAACTAACCTAAACAAGAACTGATACGACAGTTTACATACCAGAGTGTCTTATTGTTACGATATACTTTAAAAACAGATTCTCTTTCTTAAATGAGAAACTCTACAAGGCACCACACCAATCTTGACTAGCTGATAAGAATTTCAAGCCATCACTTGTCAGGATAACTGCCAGATTTGAATTTTAGGTTTATTTTATGGTCCTGAACTTGGCATCAATATTTTAACTATCAAAAATACATTCAGCATATGCAGAAGCTTTCATAACTTTCAAGTGATCTTAAGCATGTGATCTTATAATACGCATGTTATTTTTTTCGCTAATGCTTGGCATGCTGGAGCAAGGCTAATGCCTTATATTGCTGTCACGTGTTTCAGATACATTGGTTTTGTAGTGCAATATCTCTCTTCAGGGTAAAGTTCTACTTGGAGATATGTTTCATAAACAACAGGTACTACTAAAAAAATGCATTATTTGCTTTGGAAATATTTAGATTAATATTTGACTAAATAATACATGAACTATTAGTAGCTTGGTATTTTTTAATGATTTTTAATGATGAATCATTTTAATGATATCTGTTTGGCAACGTGCAGTATCTCCTTAGGAATTGGAACTGTTCTGCAAACCTCAATATACTATTAAAAATAAAAACACATTTTGGTGCCAACTCTCCCCTATTTTTCAGAAATTATGAAAAAGAAGTCCTCTGCCCAAGACGGCCTTCTTATCCCAACTTCCCATCACTGCCATAATGCCTGGTTAGAGCCATCCTCTGCAAGGAGAAGGTTAATACTCAGTCACTCAACTCAGGCTCACCCAGTTCCATACTCAAACACAGTAATTCAGTTTTCAACATCAGACTTTTTCTTTAATGCATGGTCACCACGAGGACATAAGATGGTACAGCAACCTGACAATTATTTTATAACCTACTGCCAGAAGGGATTTGAACTAGCTGCAGAACCAAACAGAGGCTCCTAGGAAGTTACAAAGGGGACATCCTAACATCCAGGCTCAATTAAGCTCAGCTACTTCCAAAGAATTTTGGTTACCAGCTTCCCCTTCCTCAAACACTTTCAAGAGCACTCCTACAAAAACATTATTTTTTTAGATACCAAAGCCAACACAACGTGTATCAAATTACAAAGCAAAAAACTGACAGAACAATGTTTTCTGTGTATTCCACAAAAAGCAACCCTACAAAATACATAGACACTAGGCCTTCATATACTGACATGTGTTCTAACAAAATACAATCCACAGCACGTTATTCTTGATCTGTGAAAACTTTCATCAACAAGGACACTCCTCCAGGGAGAAAGGCTTTTCTAAATGCAGGTGAAATATATATTGCCACCATGTACCAGAATGAATGAATGTTGTTTATAAAGAACCAAAATCCAGAGTTAAGAGCGTGGGGGAATATTTTTTTCAAAGACTACAGTTTCCATCTTTTCCTTATCAACCCTGATCCTCAAGGGAGAATAATAAATCTAAGAAAAAATATCCTAATTTTATTGAATGCTAGAAGGCACCTATTTAATAAAGACATTGATTTATGGCACATTATAATTTCTCCTACTCTTCAGTTCCTGCTAAACCCACATTACTTCACTGGCAATAGTAATTATTATCTCTTTCTGTCCCACAGGAATGTTACTTTTCCTTTCCGTAATATCATTTACTGTTCCATAGAAGCTGGCTACCTTTTCCTTTCATACTGTTTCACTAAAACAACTAAG